GTGGCCCTCCGCCTTGCTGCCCCAATCCACACCAGATATAGTTGTATTTGCGGCGAGGTGGTGGCTGACAGGTACGGTCACCATGGCCTACTCTGCCAAAGCACAGGGGGATGGCACTCGAGGCACAGTGAAGTTAACGACATCATCAAGAGGAGCCTCACCACAGCTGGATGCCCAGCTGAAAGAGAGCCCCGTTACCTAACGCCCCGTAACTCTGATGCTCTTATTGGTCGCCCGGATGGTATCACAGTGAACCCCTGGAAGAATGGCAAGCAGTTGGTATGGGACTACACGTGCGTATCAACCCTGGCTACACCTACATTAACCTCAGTGTAGAAGGCAGTATTTTGGACTCCAGTGGTAGAAGGCAGTATAGTGGACCCCAGTGGTGGAATGGCAGTATAGTGGACCCCAGTGGTGGAAGGCAGTATAGTGGACTCCTGTAGTGGAAGGTAGTATAGTGGACCCCAGTGGTGGAAGGCAGTATAGTGGACCCCAGTGGTGGAGGGTTCTTTAGTGGATCCCAGTGGTGGAAGGCAGTATAGTGGACGCCAGTGGTGGAGGGTTGTATAGTGGACACCCAGTGGTGGCAGGCTGTGTAGTGGACCCCAGTGGTAGAAGGCTGTATTTTGGACTCCAGTGGTGGAAGGCAGTATAGTGGACCCCGGTGGTGGAAGGCAGTATAGTGGACCCCAGTGGTGGAATGGCAGTATAGTGGACCCCAGTGGTGGAAGGCAGTATAGTGGACCCCAGTGGTGGAATGGCAGTATAGTGGACCCCAGTGGTGGAAGGCAGTATAGTGGACCCCAGTGGTGGAAGGCAGTATAGTGGACTCCAGTGGTGGAAGGCAGTATAATGGACCCCAGTGGTGGAAGGCAATATAGTAGACCCCAGTGGTGGTGGGCAGTATAGGGGATCCCAGTGGTGGAAGGCAGTATAGTGGACCCTAGTGGTAGAGAGCATTAAAGTAGACCCCAGTGGTGGAATGGTAGTATAGTGGACGCCAGTGTTTTAAGGCAGTATAGTGGACCCCAATGGTGGAGGGTTGTATATTGGACCCCAGTGGTGGAAGGCAGTATAGTGGACCCCCAGTAGTGCGAGGCAGTATAGTGGACCCCAGTGGTGAAGGGTTGTATAGTGGACCCCAGTGGTGGAGCGTTGCATAGTGGACCCCAGTGGTGTAAGGCAGTATAATGACTCCTGTGGTGGAGGGCAGTATAGTGGACCCCAGTGGTGGAAGGCAGTATAGTGGATCACAGATGTGGAAGGCAGTATAGTGAACCCCAGTGGTGGAAGGCAGTATAGTGGACCCCAGTGGTGGAAGGCAGTATAGTCGACCCCAGTGGTGGAAGGCAGTATAGTGGTCTCCAGTGGTAGAGGGCAGTATAGTGGACCCCAGTGGTGTAAGGCAGTGTTGTGGACCCCAGTGGTTAAAGGCAGTATAGTGGACCCCAGTGGTGGAAGGCTGTATAGTTGACCCCAGTGGTGGAAGGTAGTATAGTGGACCCCAGTTGTTAAAGGCAGTATAGTGGACCTCAGTGGTGGAGTGCAGTATAGTGGACCCCAGTGGTGGAGGGCAGTATAGTGGACCCCAGTGGTGGAGGGCAGTATAGTGGACCCCAGTGGTGGAGGGCAGTATAGTGGACCCCAGTGGTGGAGGGCAGTATAGTGGACCCCAGTGGTGGAGGGCAGTATAGTGGACCCCAGTGGTGGAGGGTTGTATAGTGGACCCCAGTGGTGTAAGGGTGTAAGGCAGTATAGTGGACCCCAGTGGTTAAAGGCAGTATAATGGACCCCAGTGGTGGAGGGCAGTATAGTGGACCCCAGTGGTGGAGGGCAGTATAGTGACCCCAGTGGTGGAGGGCAGTATAGTGGACCCCAGTGGTGGAAGGCAGTATAGTGGACCCCAGTGGTGGAGGGCAGTATAGTGGACCCCCAGTAGGGCTCCAGCTCAGAGAATACACGGAAGATTTCTCTCTCCAAGCTACAGGCAGATTACCTTAGCATATTTGTGCTGAGTTACAGCTACCTTACTGCTTCCTCCTCATACTTACCTTACTTTACCGCAACATATTTAAAAGATGCTCCAAGAGGTGCAAAAGTGTGCTGGGAATCCTTAACAACTCTTCATCAGCACTTAAATCCAGCACCTGTGGTTATCTTGGAGAGTTAAGTGCCAGCTCCCACTCGTGGATCTCCTCGACGCTCTCTACACTCACTGCAATCTTGAAAACTTTCCTTACCTTCTTTTCTACCTGTGGTCAGAGCTTTTGGCGCACAACCATATGGTCCCGGGTTCGATTCCCTCGGCAGGATAAATATATATATGGCTGCGTTTCCTTTTCTCCTGATGTCTCTATTCACTAATTATTGAATATGAACCTGGGAGTTCGTCAACTGTTGAGAAGGGAAGATGCAACATCATCAAAATGCAAAATCGTGGTGAATACTAACCGTTGACCTAAGGGAACCTCGATGAAAGCAACAGGTTTTCTGTTCCCGACAACGGGTAAGGGAGACTGTTGATCATGGGTATCCAGCCTGTTTTCTCGATATGCCACAACGTGAAAAATCCAACTTCCAAACCTAACCGAAAACGCCACGAACCCAAACCTAACCTAACCATCCGAGGCATAAAAAGAAAGTGTCGATTTTTGCGAGTCGCAACGTTTCATAGTCCGATGCATTTGGTACGTTGGTTACCGTGACGCGGCATTAGTTGAGAGGACGGGTTGACCCGTCAACCAGATAACTCTTACGAAGGTTCTCTATATAAAAAAGAGTTTCCAGCTCCCTCAGGCGTTCATGGTGTTCAAACACATTTCTTAAAATGCCTTATTAGTTTGCTTTTGGTGCATATCCTGCACACTTTTGTAGGATATTCACCAAATCCCTATCATCATCCCTATCACTCAAGGGATGATGTTATCACTATTTCAAGTGATAACATCATCCAAAGTGAAAACATTAGAGTCCTAATCTTTCACCGAGGACTGTACTCTTATTCTTCTTACAGATCTTGCTGCACAATCAACAACACTTCATACTTAAGCTTATTTATACAAAAAGAAAACAATCATTGCTTTACCTGTTTTACCACAAAATAGGATGAGGTAAAAGACACAACCAGTGAGAGAAAATTGGGAAAGTAATGCACCATGCCCAACCACTTGAGCTGGACGGTAGAGAGACGGTCTCGTTTCATGCAGGTCGGCGTTCAGTTCTCCGACCGTCCATAAGTGGTTGGGCACCATTCCTTCCCGCCATCCCATCCCAAATCCTTATCCTGGCCCCTTCCAAGTGCTATATAGTCGTAATGGCTTGGTTCCTTCTCCTCATAGTTACCTTACGTTGATGCAGAGAGTTGAAGTAGGTAAACTAACCTCATCCCTTCCTGCGAGAGAAAGAGAGAGGGAAAGTACCTTCAAATTCTATAAATGGAAGCAACGAAAGAAGCACATTATTTCGCCCATGAAAAAGAGAAAGTAGCTCTTCATCACGCCGGTGAAAGAAAGAACTTTTTCATTTTATCCACAGCAAGTAAAAGTAGGGAAAATAGTTTCTCATTCCAAGTTGCCTCTCATCTCATCCTATAAGTGAAAGTAAAAAACAAAAGAGAGAGCTTCCTCATTCCACTGGTGATAGTAGAGAGAGAGAGAGAGAGAGAGAGAGAGAGAGAGAGAGATAGAGAGAGAGAGAGAGAGAGAGAGAGAGAGAGAGAGAGGAGAGAGAGAGAGAGAGAGAGAGAGAGAGAGAGAGAGAGAGAGAGAGAGAGAGAGAGAGAGAGAGAGAGAGAAGAGAGAGAGAGAGAGAGAGAGAGAGAGAGAGAGAGAGAGAGAGAGAGAGAGAGAGAGAGAGAGAGAGAGAGAGAGAGAGAGAGAGAGAGAGAGAGAGAGAGAGAGAGAGAGAGAGAGAGAGAGAGAGAGAGAAGAGAGAGAGAGAGAGAGAGAGAGAGAGAGAGAGAGAGAGAGAGAGAGAGAGAGAGAGAGAGAGCAGCGCCTCATCTTCACTCCCACATTCCTTGCGGGTGGGAGAGAGAGGAGAGAGAAACGAAGGTATCTGGAGTTATCTTTTATTTGCATTTATTGTCCCTCCTCCCAAGTGATGAGAAAGGCGTGAGGTATGAGGCCGAGAAGAGAGGTTCGTGCGTACTCACCTACCTGTACCTGTGAGGACTGAGCTCTATCTCCTGGGTCCCCGTCTCTCAACCTTCTATAGTTAGATTAACGATTATAAACGAATAAGCGATAATCAGATAATTAAAAATAGAAAACAAAAAAGTTGCCCCGTGTCTCTGGCCTGGCACTTATTATTAAATATAAACGTAAAGTGCAGAATAAAAAGCAAGGCGAAATGAAATCACAATTGCGGGGTATATATATATTTATGAGATTCTTTTGGAGCAATACGGTGGGATTAAACTCGCGTCTCTAGTCACCACCGCTAGAGACGTGAGTGCGATCCCACTGCACTGCTCCAAAATGAGTATCCACATTTTCTTCTTGACAAACGCAGGATTTTGAGAACGAGAAAAGTAGAGCAAGGGAATCAGGTACACTTCATTGTTATCACCCTGACCAAGGGCGGTCACCCAACCAGTTACTGCCACACCGAACTCTAAACCACATAATGGTTAGGCTAGGAAGGGTATGTTAGAAATGTTAGGAAGGTTAGGATAGTTTGGATCCTAATCTTTACTATCCTGGACAGTAGGTCAATTTCGCCAGCCGCTACTATTTTCTAGCACGATGATTTTTGGTCTTATGTAGAGTATAAGTCAAAATGAGACGTTCTATTAGAAGGACAGGTTGCTTTATGACGTGTACTAAACTCGTCAGCATGAGAACAGCATTTTAGAAAACGGAACACTTCCTACATGGGGAACACCGCTTAACAAAATAACACGAAAATTAAAATTCAAAAACTTGTTACAGGGATGGTCTCACAAGAGAGACTTGAGGTGTGAGGAAAACTGAGAGTAAATGAGATGTGAGGAAAGGATGAAGGCCCTGGGATGTGAGGAAAGACTCAGGTGTGAGGAAAGACTCAGGTGTGAGGAAAGACTCAGGTGTGAGGAAAGACTCAGGCGTGAGGAAAGACTCAGGTGTGAGGAAAGACTCAGGTGTGAGGAAAGACTCAGGTGTGAGGAAAGACTCAGGTGTGAGGAAAGACTCAGGTGTGAGGAAAGACTCAGGTGTGAGGAAAGACTCAGGTGTGAGGAAAGACTCAGGTGTGAGGAAAGACTCAGGTGTGAGGAAAGACTCAGGTGGTGAGGAAAGACTCAGGTGTGAGGAAGACTCAGGACTCAGGTGTGAGGAAAGACTCAGTGTGAGGAAAGACTCAGGTGTGAGGAAAGACTCAGGTGTGAGGAAAGACTCAGGTGTGAGGAAAGACTCAGGTGTGAGGAAAGACTCAGTGTGAGGAAAGACTCAGGTGTGAGGAAAGACTCAGGTGTGAGAAAGACTCAGTTTGAGGAAAGACTCAGGCGTGAGGAAAGACTCAGGTGTGAGGAAAAGACTCAGGTGTGAGGAAAGACTCAGGTGTGAGGAAAGACTCAGGTGTGAGGAAAGACTCAGGTGTGAGGAAAGACTCAGGTGTGAGGAAAGACTCAGGTGTGAGGAAAGACTCAGGTGTGAGGAAAGACTCAGGTGTGAGGAAAGACTCAGTGTGTGAGGAAAGACTCAGGTGTGAGGAAAGACTCAGGTGTGAGGAAAGACTCAGGTGTGAGGAAAGACTCAGGTGTGAGGAAAGACTCAGGTGTGAGGAAAGACTCAGGTGTGAGGAAAGACTCAGGTGTGAGGAAAGACTCAGGTGTGAGGAAAGACTCAGGTGTGAGGAAAGACTCAGGTGTGAGGAAAGACTCAGGTGTGAGGAAAGACTCAGGTGTGAGGAAAGACTCAGGTGTGAGGAAAGACTCAGGTGTGAGGAAAGACTCAGGTGTGAGGAAAGACTCAGGTGTGAGGAAAGACTCAGGTGTGAGGAAAGACTCAGGTGTGAGGAAAGACTCAGGTGTGAGGAAAGACTCAGACTCAGGTGTGAGGAAAGACTCAGGTGTGAGTGAAAGACTCAGGTGTGAGGAAAGACTCAGGTGTGAGGTGAAAGAGTGTGAGGAAAGACTCAGTGTGAGGAAAGACTCAGGTGTGAGGAAAGACTCAGGTGTGAGGAAAGACTCAGGTGTGAGGAAAGACTCAGGTGTGAGGAAAGACTCAGGTGTGAGGAAAGACTCAGGTGTGAGGAAAGACTCAGGTGTGAGGAAAGACTCAGGTGTGAGGAAAGACTCAGGTGTGAGGAAAGACTCAGGTGTGAGGAAAGACTCAGTGTGAGGAAAGACTCAGGTGTGAGGAAAGACTCAGGTGTGAGGAAAGACTCATGTGTGAGGAAAGACTCAGGTGTGAGGAAAGACTCACTCAGGTGTGAGGAAAGACTGAGGTGTGAGGAAAGACTCAGGTGTGAGGAAAGACTCAGGTGTGAGGAAAGACTCAGGTGTGAGGAAAGACTCAGGTGTGAGGAAAGACTGAGGGAGCAGAACCTTACAATGCTGGGAACCAGAGATGAGATGGATGACATACAAGAATGTTTAGTGGCTTGCTAGTATAAAAAAAATGACCTAGACGTTCATTATGAATAATAATACAGCAGACATAGATAATACATAATACAGCAACAATAATACAGCAGACCGGGGAGCCGGTCGGCCGAACGGACAGCACGCTGGACTTGTAATTCTGAGGTCCCGGGTTCAATCCCGGGCGCCGGCGAGACACAATGGGCAGAGTTTCTTTCACCCTATGCCCCTGTTACCTAGCAGTAAATAGGTACCTGGGGTGTTAGTCAGCTGTCACGGGCTGCTTATTGGGGGTGGAGGCCTGGTCGAGGACCGGGCCGCGGGGATCCCCGAAATCGTCTCAAGATAACCACAAGATAGGCATGCTCAGTATGAACAATACCAGCACCAGAGACATGTTCACATATGAACAACACGAGAACTGGAGGCTAGAGGAAGGAAGTTCAGAGACCAAAGTGAACCACGAGTGCGTTCACAAACACTTCTCATCCTCTACTTCAACAATAGAGTACAGTGTGAGGGAGCGAGCAGAGAGCGCGAGACAACAGAGGGTAATCCCAGACACAGCTGTAAGAGCGCAGATATGTTAAAGAAAACAGCGTGTGGTGTCCCTGTGAGGGATGATCGACCCTGGCTCCAATGGTGAGGTGGGTGTTGGAGAGAGAGAGAGAGAGAGAGAGAGAGAGAGAGAGAGAGAGAGAGAGAGAGAGAGAGAGAGAGAGAGAGAGAGAGAGAGAGAGAGAGAGAGAGAGGAGAGAGAGAGAGAGAGAGAGAGAGAGAGAGAGAGAGAGAGAGAGAGAGAGAGAGAGAGAGAGAGAGAGAGAGAGAGAGAGAGAGAGAGAGAGACTTAGGAAATTGTTTTGGGTGGATTGACAAAGGAATGAGGTCTTCAGAATTAATCACAACAGAACGAAAGAGAATGGATGGAAGATTAAAAATCAGACGAGACAGATAATAGAAAGCTTTTAATCGTAATAGTGTCAAAATTGAATGGACAAAACGCAGAAGATTTTAGAAACAAACGCCATTAATAATTTGAAAAGCTGATATGATAAAAGAATAAGACAGAAGTCATTGCATTAAACAGCAGCTACAACGGCGGGGTACAAAAGCTGAAGCTCGATCTTACAGCCACCAAAAAAGTGAGAATACACACACGGCTGAACTTATGTATTCCTCCTCATACCCGTATACACACCCGCGTCGCGATAGGGCACACGCCTTACACATTAAGTTCTCCCGAAGGGAAAGAGGATGTTTTTATCCTCTACACACACAACACTGCTCCAAGGATGGTCAACTTCCACTAATCTACTTGGCACTTGCTCAAGGTTGCAGCTTTTGCATTCCTTCATACAGTCACAACACACACACACACACACATATATGTATATTATATATATATATATACATATATATATATATATATATATATATATATATATATTATATATATATATATATATATATATATATATATATATATATATATATATATATATATATATATATATATGCAACAATGATCACAAAAACACTGATCCAAGTATGCAGAATAACCACATGTGAAAAATAGAAATGCTTAACGCGTTTTCGGCTAATTCGCCTTCGCTAATTCTAATTTGGATCCCTATTTAAGCCTCAATATAGCACGTCAAAACAATATAGCAATCATTTAACACGTATGTCACTTGGAGATATTAATAGAAGCTGCCTCGTATGCGCCAATAGGCCTTCTGCAGTATCCTTCTTTCTTATAATTCCTTTCCTCCACTTATTTTTGGTGGTCAGGTGATCTGCCCATGCGGATATAAAGGTCTGATCAGCAATCTTATCTTCATTCTACTTTGCTCTGATGAAGGCGAATTAGTCGAAAACGCGTTAAGCATTTTCTAACTTATGCTTAAGTTAGAAAATTACCTCATACATAATGAAATGTGTAGCTTTATCATTTCATAAGAAAAAATTGGAGAAAATATATTAATTAAGTAAAAACTTGGCTTATTAGGCAATTCGGGCCTTGCATAGTAGGCTAGGAAGTGCGTTCTGGCTACTAGGTACAATATATATATATATATATATATATATATATATATATATATATATATATATATATATATATATATATATATATTATATATATATATATATATATATATATATATATATATATATATATATATTATATATATATATATATATATATATATATATATATATATATATATATATGCGAACAAGCCGGAATGGTCTTCAGGACTATATGCAACTGAATGAGGTGATATGATAAAATGCTATGCCCAAGATTACCATCCGGGTGCCGGTGGGGAAGGGGGTGGTTCATATAGGTTCGGCTCTCACCTTTTGTCCGGTCGTGACAGTCAAGAGGATTAAGGCGTCCTGTACATACCAGTTGCATTGCTCCTGGCAGTATGGGTTCGAGTCACTTCTGGGGTGTCAGTTTTCAGTTAGTTATATATATATATATATATATATATATATATATATATATATATATATATATATATATATATATATATATATATATATATATATAATATATATATATATTTTATATATATATATTGTGACAGGAAAGTGTTGGAGTATAAATGTTCGGCAGTCCTCCAATGGCAGGTGTCAATGCCTGATCACACTTACAAAAAAAGATAGACTGCTTGCCTGTTGTCTGTCGTAAGTTAGAGGGAGGAACATGTAAAACACAGAGTATGAACAATGAAACTTTAATATATTTACTTTAAACATAAATGAAAATAAAGACAAATCTCAGGTAAATGACTGGTGCAATAAAATGACAAAGATAAATGCAAAAACACAATAGATTAAATATTATAATGGTGAAATGGTGCTGAGAATATTGGCATTAGCTGAGACCCTCCTTAGTATACGAAAGCCAGAGAGCTTAGTATGCCAGAGAGAGATGTCAACTCTAAGAGCACAAAGAATATTCTGAAGTTGATGGCTGGAAAGGCTCAGACGTCGACTCAGGTAGATGGCGCTGAGGTGCAGGGTTTAGGTGCGCGGTCGGCGAGTCACCACTCAGGAGCAGGCAGGCTGGGATGGGTAGTTTGCTGGTTGACGACGAGCCGGCGTGGAGGGTGTGTGGAGTAGGAGGGTTCTTGGGTACGTTTTGCCTGATGGTCAAAACGTTTTGTGCTACCGGTGACGTATCTTGAATGTAGCATCTTATACTTGTAGAATTGACGTAACTTTAAGTAGGGAAGAGCAGGCTCAATCTCTTGAAAGAGATTATCATCACAACTCTCCCCCGAAGCCTGCGGTTCCAGATGAAGTTACATCTTCTGGAGGTAGAGTGGTAGGTGGAGCTGCCTCTACCTCATAGACTCTGGAGAGGGTGTCTGCTATGATGTTGTCAGACCCCTTGATGTAGAGATCTCCAGGTTGAAATTTTGCCGATATCAAGCCTATCGTAGAAGCCGTCGATTGTTGAATTAGGCTTGCTGCAGAAAGTGTAGGGGATTGTGGTCCGAGTAGATGGTGGTAGACCGAGCACTTTGCAGGGCCAATTCGAAGTGCTGCAAGTTGAGGACGATGAAGTGTGGCTCCTTTTCGATCTTGCTGTAGTTCCTTGTAGCTGTAGTAGCTAACAGGTAGAATCTCCTCGCCTCGTTGTTGCATCAGGTCACCCCCGATGCCGGTACTACTGGCGTCGACATGGAGGATGAAAGGCTTCGTGATATCTGGCGAGGCGAGAATAGGATTAGAATATGGCAAAGGAGCACTATTATAGTCCTGTAAATTGGGATGAAGATCAGGTAGGATTTCCGATTTGGAAAGCACCGACTCAGTGTTAATGCTTTCGGGAGAAGCAGGAAAGGTTTCACTGTGGAGGTATGGACCATTAACTGTGGAGACTGATACCAACACAGTGGGGGAATACCTTGATACTGCTTCAGGAGGTTGACGTGGCACAGCTGGGTCTTCCGCCGCCTATCTGGAGTCTCAAGAACGTAGTTGTTGTTCTTTCTGCACTCCTTAATGCGGTAGGGTCCTGAAAACTTGTTTTGCAATGGAGAACCTGGGATAGGAAAATATGCCAACACGAAGTCTCCTGGTTTAAATTTCCTTAATTTGCTGCTTTGGTCAAAATGAGTCTTCATCCTCTCCTGTGCTTTCAATAGATTGTCATTAGCAAATTTACGTACTCTCTCTAGAATGTGTTTTAAGTTTTGAAGATACTGGGGCCCATTCTGAGGGTCACTGAAGGTGGCATTACGTAGAGAGTATTTAAAAGCTTTGAGAGGAGTACGGCACTTACGTCCGTAGAGCATCTCATAAGGAGATACTCCTAGAGACTCATTGGGGAGACTTCTGAAAATGCACATAATGAGATCAAGTTGTTTATCCCAGTTCTTCAAGGTGTCATTGCAGAACTTCTTTAGGAGTGCTTTAATAGTCTGATGACTACGTTCAAGAGAACCCTGTGAAGCAGGATGATAGGGGCTGGACAGTACCTGTATGATGTTGAACTCCTCCAGTGTCTTCTTGAAGAGATCACTGGTGAAGTTGGTGCCACAGTCGCTTTGAACCTCTCTTGGAAATCCATACTGGGTGAAGATCTTCAATAGGTTTTTCACCACAGTAGCAGCCGTAATGTTCTTTACTGGAACTGCTATAGTGAATCTGGTGGTAGGACACATGATAGTTAATATATATGCGTTGCCAGAACTGGTCCGGGGTAAAGGACCAACAC